AATATTGTCGTATTTTCACTTTTTTAATGGCACTATTTCTAGATCGCGGAATGATTCTTCTTTTATGCTGTCGGATGGATAAGTTTTTTATTCCCAGTTTTTATCTTTCTGATTAATTTACATGGACTGAAAATTATTTTATCAGTTTACACTACGTGTAAACCATTTTCAGGTACGTTCTCTCCGATGGTGTATTCAGATTTTTAATTAGATGGAAAATTAAAAATATTTTTTTAGCCCCATCATGGCGACGTCATTGACAGGCCGTTATTATGTTCCCCAAACGGAGTTTGGGAACATATTGTGTTTACTCGGTTTCTTATTATTATGTTCCCCAAACGAAGTTGGGGAACATATTGTTTTTACTCTGTTTCTTATTATTATTATTATTATTTTTCTTCTCGGGAAAATTTTGTCCGCGAATGATCTTGTAAAGTACACATCCGATTAAGGGGAAACCTTTTTAGGGTAAGTATGCATGTTATGTAGATTTGCGGAATCAAGGTCATTTTGCGCGCACGTGCTTGCAAGAGCGCGCACGTGCAAAACTTAAAATGACCAATATATAATGGATATAACCGTAACTTTTCTATTTTTAGACGAAATGTTTTGAAACTCATAATGTAAGGATATATGAGTAGTATGCACAAGATGACATGGTCAAAATAGCAAGATCGCACGTGCAAGCACGTGCGCTTCGCTCTGATTGGCTGAAACTAAAGTCTCAATATCTTTCTTGTTTTTTGATAAAATCATTTGAAATTTTGAATATAGTCATACATAAGGGAGATCTACAGCCCGTAATAAAAGAAATATCATGAAAGCATGTGCATGCACGTGTGCTTGCAAGAGCTCGCACGTGCAACACGAGAAATGTTCAATTTAATTGATACAGACGTAACTATTTAAATTATTGATGATATGCTTTAAAACTCATATTAAAAGTATATATTAGAAGCATAGACAAGATGACATGGTCAAAAAAACAAGATCTCACGCGCATGCACGTGCGCTTCGCTCTGATTGGCTGAAACTAAAGTCTCAATATCTTTCTTGTTTTTTGACGAAATCCTTTGAAATTTTAAATATAGGCATGTATTAGGATATCCTACAATAAGATATATAGTAATTATCATGAAAACGCGTGCATGCACGTGCGCTGCAATCTGATTGGCTTATGCTTTAAATAGCTATTACTCCCTTGGTTTTCAACCAAACAGGATGGGATTTGGAATATAGATAGATATAATGGATTTCTACAAGAAGACATGGTCACCATGCACATGCATACACGTGCATGTACGTGCGCTGCAATCTGATTGGCTGAAATTTTGAACAGCTATAACTCCCTTGGTTTTCAACTAAACGGGGTGGGATTTAGAACATAGATAGATGTAATAGACTTCTACAAGAACGTATGGTCGCCATGCTCATGTGAGCACGTGCGTGCACGTGAAATGAGTAAAATCAAAAATACACTTGAATTAGCGTATTTTTTAATACTTTTGGATTAAATACTTTGATATTTAGTATATGAAAATCTATAGATTGTGAAGACAAGATTATATGGTCATTACGCACGTGCATTCACATGTGCACAGGCTAAAACTTAAATGAAATTGGTACACTTCTGGGTAAACGTTGTTAAAGTCTCAAATGCATAGAGTTTGTCTTATTTAATGAAGCTTATAGGGAATATGGCACCAAAAGGGAGTTGGGGAGCGTTTGGGGAACATCTGTAACGGTCCCCGTTACAATTAGCACTAGTTATTATTATTATTCTTTTTTTTCTTATTTGTTCTCCGGTACTTTTTTGTCCGGAAGTGTTCTCAGAAACTGTTCACCCAACTGACCTAAAACCTTTTTAGGGTTAATGGGTGTGTAGTGTAGGTGTGCGGAACGAAGGTCATTTTGCGCGCATACGCGTGCACGTGCGTGCGCGTGATATGAGTGAAATGAATGATATACTTAATATAGCTATAACTTTTACATTTTTTAATGAATTGACTTGAAACTCATTATATATTGATATATTAATAGTGTAGATAATGTGACACTGTCAAATTAGCACGAACTCATTCGCATGCACGTGCGCTTCACTCTGATTGGCTGAAACAAAAATCTCAATATCTTTTCTGTTTTTTGACGAAATGCTTTGAAATTTAAAACATAGGCATACTTTAGGATGTCCTACAAAATGATATATAACAATTGTCATGAAAGCACGCGCATGCACGTGCGCTGCAATCTGATTGGCTAAAACTTTAAATAGCGATAACTCCCTTGTTTTTAAACCAAACAGGATGGGATTCAGAACATAGATAGACATTATGGACTCCTACAAAAGGGTATGGTCATCATGCACATGCATGCACGTGCATGGACGTGCGCTTTGCTCTGATTGGCTGAAACAAAATTTTCAATATCTTTATTGTTTTTTGAAGAAATGCTTTGAAATTTAAATCATAGGCATGCTTTTGGATGTCCTACAATATGATATATAATAATTTTCATGAAATCACGCGCATGCACGTCCGCTGCAATTTGATTGGCTGAAACTTTAAATGGCTCTAATTACCTTATTTTTCAACCCAAAAGCATGGGATTCAGAACATAGATAGACATTATGGGCTCCTACAATAGTGTATAATCATGATGCACATGCATGCACGTGCGTGCACGTGAAATGAGTAAAATTACAAATACACTGGATTAAACATATTTTTAAATACGTATGGAATAAATGTTGTAATATTTAGTATATTAAAATATACGAATAGTTTAGACAAGATGATATGGTCATTACGCACATGCATTCAAATGCGCATGCGTGCAATGCTGAAATTTGAATAAACTTGATATACTTCTGGGTAAATAATGTTAAAGTCTAAAATGCATCGTGTTTGTCTTATTTAATTGTCACCGGGTTCACAGGTGCGTGAAAGTCAGTCAATATATCGGGTCTCAATAGCTCAGTTGGTTAGAGCGCTGGCACGGTACGCCAGAGGCCCTGGGTTCGAGTCCCGGTTGAGACTTGACTTTTCACCACCTGTGACATTTGGCGCCCAACGTACAAAACCCACTATTTCCTTGGAACATGCCTCACAGCATTTCCTTAACTCGTAGAATTCGAGGACGAATTTCTACAAAGAGGGGGAATATGTCACCGGGTTCACAGGTGCGTGAAAGTCAGTCAATATATCGGGTCTCAATAGCTCAGTTGGTTAGAGCGCTGGCACGGTACGCCAGAGGCCCTGGGTTCGAGTCCCGGTTGAGACTTGACTTTTCACCACCTGTGACATAATGAAGCGTACAGAGAATATGCCACAAAAGGGAGTTGGGGAGCGTTTGGGGAACATCTGTAACGGTTCCCGTTACAATTAGCCCTAGTTTTGGATAAAATAATGCGAGAAAAATAATCATTCATTACATACTCGTGTGGGAATAGTGAAATTCCACCTCGGGGCCAAGATTCACGGTCTAGGACTCGGCAAAGCCTCGTCCTAGACTGTGAATCTTGTCCCCTCGGTGGAATTTCACTATCCCACACTCGTAGTAATGAATGATTCTATTATTCTTCTAAATTTTTTTTACATGTTTAACGTCCCTTGAGAGAATTTATCTCTTATGATACATTGCCATTACCATTGAAGTTACTGTCGCGAAGGGATGCTCCGCTTAGCGGTGCCCTTGTTCAGGGTAAGATACAGCACTTACGTAGATGACTATTGCAAGGAAAATGAAGAGAATATGAGGTATAGACGAGATAAACCTAAAAATTCAAACAAAGTGTTGATATTTTACTAGCATAGTTTTTAACGAAAAATCAATCCACAAGAAAGACTGACAAACATGACTACATATGTAAACCGAACAAAGGAACGGGTACATACGAGGGCCGTTCAAAAATTACGCGGACTGTGCTATTATTTACTCTTACAGTGGTCATATAGTTATGAAATTTAATAGAAATATGTATCTTTAAGATTCCAATAAATTTTGGGCAAAATATCTATATTTTAAAAAAAAAATCCTCTAAAATTATCGGTATGTTGATATCGCTGATGGAGAGGTGCGGAGCACGACAAAAAATTTGAAGCAAAAGCATGCGGAATCCAAAATTAAACTCATCTATTTTCTATAATTCGCGATATTTTTGGACAAATTTCTCAAATGTATCTTTAAATTGTTCTATTATTATTTATTTAGATTTTCTGGCGTGATATTTGAAGTACTTACAGAAATATAGTGATTTTTCTCTGATGCGATTACCGTGAAAACGACTGTGAAAATGACTTCTCCTGAATTGACGGCGCACCACATTTTGTTAAATTATCTGTAATCCTCGAGATATCGCCAACATAGAAAAAAAATATGCATAATAAAACATGTAGTAAACTAGGGTATTCGTGACATGCGTCCACAAATAGCAAATTGAAATGATAGACCGTAAGACCTCTGTAAAGAGGCTATACAGGAGGACGGGAAGAAGATTATCGACTAAAACTTTATCCGGACTGTAATGAACGTGAATGAGAGTCACTAATATCGCACTATATCTGATATATTCCTGCAGTTTTTGGTTTTAAAACAAAAAAAATAGTCTTTACTTGTTTAAAAGTTTTAAGCTTGACAAGAAATGTTGTTTGTATGTTTAGTAGAAGGTAACTCAAACCGTACAGGTACTCTTGGGAAAATGTTGAGCAAATGAAAACTTAATCACATATTTTTTTTATAATGCCTGTGACGTCGAAGATTTTGCTGCTCCGTGACTTAATAATATATCCTGAAAAATCACTCAAAATTAATACCAATGGACAACATTTTGATATGAAATTTTAAAGACCATATAAGTAAAGATTGTTTTATATTATGTGTGTCATTTTGCCGCATTATGTCGTCAAATATTTTTTTCTGTGCAACAAGTCCGCGTAATTTTTGAACGGCTCTCGTATAAAATGTTCATTTCAGGGAATCTATGTTTCTAAATGACTACATACTTAGTTTTCTGTAAGCTTTGTTGTCGATGATGTAAATGTCCCAGTGTGGATGTAGACCTATACAGGATCTCACGATGTCAGGTCTCGCCTCTCTCCGGTGTCTCCAGAGCCACGTCACGTGATCTAAACTGTCCTGTGATCTTCCTCTATGATGTACAGTCTCCCTTACTCTTACGAGTTCCATTAGAAATTCTTTTCTTTTATCTTCACTCTCCTTCAGTATTTGGTTTGAAACATTCACTGTAGAATAAGACCAATACTATCACAGTGTTATATTTGTTATTTCAACTGAAATAAAGTTTTAAAAAGAATGCCGCCTGACATGTGTAACATATCTCCGTCTGTGCTTTATGCCCCGTTTACATATTTCTAGTGTGTGTAGATTTTTAGGATATCAATTACTGTTC